AGACAGACAGACAGACAGACGGATGGATGGATGAAGGAGTGAGTGAGCAGGTCAGAGAACGCATCATCCACACTGCCTTGGAGTCTGGCCTGCTGACGTTTTCTGTGATAGCCATTGCGGGTTTGATGGCCCTCGGCAGCTGCGTGTTCCGGGGCGAGGGGCCGTGATAGGGAGAGCAGAGGGGATAAACCAGAACACAGATATGTGGGTTATGCAGTGTGGCTGGGCCTCACCTGCTGCTGGACTCTGCCTTGGAGCTTGTGAGTGACCACTGGGCCCTGGAGGGGGACTTGTCCCTAAGGCGGAAACACTGACCCCCAGAGAGTCGCCTGATGGTACACTTGAAGCCTCCCCTAGGGTCATTGGATGGTGGATGACAGACCTCTGTGTAGTCTCAGTGACCAGCGAAGGTGTCTCCAAGGGTCTCCTTCTGCCACTGAGCAACTCCGCCCAGAGCACAGGCTCCAAACTTATTTGACCTGCCACCCGTTTCACGTCCAGTTACTCAGAAGACCCCACCCCCACCCCCATCTCTAGCCCATCACCGAGGATCAAGTGTTATTGTTAGGAGCCATCAAGTCAGTTCTGAGCCATAGTGCCCGTATGCACACTGCCCAATCCTACGCCATCCTCACAATGACTCCTGTGCCCCAGAGGTCTCTGCTTCTGCAGTCCCCTGGATGGCTCCAGCGCTGCCCCCAGCGGGCATTTTTGCCCACTTTGGGAAACTGGAGGGAGCCTCCGGCCATCTGCAGGGGTGCTGGTGTTCTCCCGCCTGCTTCTGGTACAGCTTGTGGACAAGACAGGAGTCCAGGGACGCACACAGGGGACTGGGAGGGACAAGACTCTGCCTAGGGTCCCCACCTCTACCTTCCCAGGCCTTTACCTCCTCCAGGTCCCCAAAGGGGATGCCAGAAGGAGCCATGGAGCCCAATAGCCAGACATGTGACTCCTGTGCCATCAGCTCCGACTCAGGGTGTGTCCGACTTAGAAGTGGATCTCCAGGCCTTTCTTCTGAGGACAGGGATTCCTGGTAGTGCCATGGTGAAGGGATCAGCTGCTAACTAGAAAGCCAGCCAGCAGCGGGTCCCTGGGAGGAAGAAGCGGCAGCCTACTCCCATATAGACTGACAGCCTTGGAAGCCCTGGTCTGGGGGCGGGCAGGGAACAGGTCTGCTACGCCCTAGAAGGTCGCTGTGTGTCCAAGTGGACTGTGTGGCTGTGGCTTTGTGTGGGGGCCGGGACTGGTTCTTCCAAGCCATCTCTGGCTGGACTCAAACCTCCTGGCATGTCAATCATTTACCCCACCCCGGGGTTCCAAGCCAGATCCACAATCGATTCCCGCTCAGATGGACCCTGTAGGACAGAGTAGAGCTGCCCCGTGGATTCCCGAGGCTGAGCAACTTACAGGAGCCGGTGGCCTCATCTGGCTCCTCTGGAGCAGCAGGGGTGGGGTTGGAACCACTGACCTTTCGGCTAGCAGCCAAGGTCTTAAACACCAGGCCTCTTTCCTCGTGAGCAAAAGACGACAAGCCAACCCCAAGGCCAGCGATCAGAGAGGAAGCAGACAGCTCCAGTATGGAGACGGCCATCTTTCTGATAATAGAAGGAGGGAGATGATTCGCGGTGTCCTTATCACACATTGGGGTCATTCACTCACTTGCCCACTCATTCATTCGTCATGCACTTGTTAGGCACTGGCCACTGAGCTTGGCCCAGGGAATAAAGCAGTGAGGCTGGAGCTGGACAGCATCCTGTCCTCTTGGAGCGCAGAGTCCAGGGAGGAGGAACATGAAGTCAGAGCCTGTGGACACTTGATGCTTCTGGGTTGAACCAGGCTGACCAGGTCAGCTGGTCTGTGGCCATCCAGGCAGAAGCAGCTGAGATAAGTTGCGGGCTAGATGGGCTGGGTTAGGCCCCATGCCACACAGAGGGATGGTCCTCACATTGCTCCCCTGTGTGGCCAGGAGGACCCATTCCCTGGAGGACACTGGGCTGCTGGGGGCTGAGGGGACAAGCTTAGAACCACAGCCCTTCCCCAGTCCCCAGGGACAGAGTGACACCCCCCCTACTTTTTCAGGGACCCGGTGCTCAAGGCCATCAAGGAGGGTGACGAGGAGGCCCTGAGTGCCATGATCAAGGCTGGCAAGAACCTGGCTGAGCCCAACAAGGAGGGCTGGCTGCCGCTGCACGAGGCCACCTACTATGGCCAGGTGGGCTGCCTGAGGGTCCTGCTTCGAGGTGAGGGCAAGGAGTGGGGGCCCCTGGGTGGGGCTGGGACATGTACCGAGGGCCCCTTCTGGCTCCGTGGGCAGGGTAGGGCAGGGCAAAGCTATCCCACCCATCTGGCCACCCACACTGCTTCGATGGCAAAGAGGAAGTCCCCCAATGCCCCCAGCACCCACAGGGAACAGCGCCCCATCTCTGGAAAGACATTGAGGGGAGGCTGGCTTGTGGGGAGCCACCAGAACCTGCTCCCACACCAAGATCCCAGGGCAGATTGACCGGGAAAACGGGCAGCTGGGGCTGTGTCCGGCCAAGGCCTCCCCACTGCTGGGGGACCGCAGGGAGCCCACCTCCTTGACAGCTCAGACATATCAAGGGCCCCTTGTTTTCTGGGGGAACAGCAAAGACCTACCTTGGCCCTCAAGGGGTCCCTGGGTGGCACATACAGGTAAGCACGGGGTTACTAACTGCAGAAGTTCACCCTTCCATGCCCCAGAAGAAAGGCCTGGCGATGTATTTCTAGAAAAAGTCATCCCTGGCCTGGCAGCCCCGCGGGGCACCCCCTGTTCTGACTCCCATGGGCTCAGGACCTGGCACCGACCCGAGGTCTTGTTCATTGTTTTCTTCCACCCTCGAAGCATCACAGACCCCAGGTTGCCCATCAGGCTCCAGAAAGTGAGGCTTGGTTTTTCCAGCAGTGTCTAGTGGGAGAGCCCAGGGAGGCTCAGAGAGGGAGGGGGCAAGCAAGGCAGGCTGCCCGCAGGAGGTGGCCTCTGAGGGGCCTTGTGTGGCCGTAGGAGCTACAGGGTTCAGGGCAAAGAGGATGGCCCCCAGGACCGGGGCTGGGGGAAACAAATCAGGGAGGCCTCGTGTTTCGAGGGGCAGGTGGCCCCCTAATTCCGAGCCCTCCTCGGCGCTCCTCCCAGCATATCCTACAACGGTGGACCAGCGCACCCTGCAGGAGGAGACAGCGCTGTTCCTGGCCACCTGCAGGGGACACCTGGACTGCCTCCTGTCGCTGCTGCAGGCTGGGGCTGAGCCGGACATCTCCAACAAGTCCCGAGAGACACCGCTCTATAAAGGTCAGCAGTTTCCTGAGGGCAAATCAGGGGCTAGGGTGGCTTTGAGCCAACCCCCCACGCCCACCCCACCCCCCATCAGTGCTTCACTTCCCTAAGGGGCTTTGGAGGCAAGAGACTCATTCTGATGCTTAATCCATGCCTGCTGGCCAGTGAGGAAACCCCCAGTGACCTGGCCAGGACCCCAGGGGTACCTGCCCAGCACCTGAGAGCCCAACAGGTGGGAGACTAGAAGCAGTGTGGCGGTAGACCGGTTCTCCCTCTTGTAGTAGTTAAGAGTACAGACTCTGGGAGACACCTCTGGGCTTGAACCCTGGCTCTGTGTGACCTTGGGCAAGTCGCGCGACCTCTCTGTGCACCACTTCCTTGGTTCAAAGGGGACCATAACCTGACACCTGGGCCCGGATGTCACACATCTTATGTGCAGAGGAGCCCTGGTTGTGCTGCCGGTTACACGCTGGGCAACTAACCACCGAGTCAGCAGTTGGAAGCCACGAGCTGCTTCAGGAGGAAGGGGAGCCTTAGACATGTTGTTAGGAGAGACTGGTCCCTGGAGAGGGGCATCGTGCTTGGCAGAGGGGCGCCAGAAAAGGAGGAAGGCCTCAATGAGATGAACAGACACGGGGGCTGCAGCCACGGGCTCAGGCACAGGAACAGTTGTGGGGCTGGCACGGGCCTGAGCAGGGTTTTGTTGTGTTGTGCAGGGAAAGGGGTCACTATGGGTGGGCACCTACTGGATGGCACCTAACACCACCACCACCACCAAAGATGGGCAGCCTCAGACACCCGCAGGGGCAGTTCTACTCTGTCCACAGGGCTGTAATGAGCCAGAACGGACCCCATGGCGGTGAGCTTGGTGTTTTCAATAAGCTGTAAGAGGCGCCCTGGTAACATGATCGTTAGGTGTCGGACCTCTGCCTGGGAAACCTGGCCCGGGGTGGACGGGACCGCAGCGGGTTTTACTTCTTCGAGAGTGAGATCCAGGGTGGCGACCCACGGTTTGCTGATGTTCACATCTGCAGATGTCCACTGGCATCTGCTCTTCTTCAGACTGGTGTTAGGAAGATACTGATCATAAAAGACAGTAACAAAACGCAGGGGGTAAAAAGGTATTTGACTCACATGAAAACCGACCCGGGGCAGTGTCGTCAGAAGGTGGTCCTGCCAGAAGCCGGAGGACCAGCTGTGCATACTCTCCCAGGGGGCTGGACCTCATGTGAATTCGATAGCCTGGGTCACGTGCTGAGATCAGAGTGCCTGGCATATAGCTAGCCCTAGAGAGACACAGGGGCTTCAAAATGTTCCTGGGGAAATGGAATGAAAAGATAACAGGATTTGTCCTGAACTTTCAGAAGCCCCTCCCTCCCCCAAGCCAGCAGGTCTACGTGCCAGTGAGAGTGTGAGCATGATGGTCCGGCACCACACCTCAGGCCAGTGCAGGGCCTGGAACCAGGAGAGGGCACAGCGACCGTGGGGGGAGTGAGTGCGTGGCCGAGCTGGTCCTACAGCAGGCCCCCAGCGACGGTCTGCTTCTTCCCTGGGTGCAGCCTGTGAGCGCAAGAACGTGGAGGCGGTGAGGACCCTGGTGCGCTACAACGCAGACACCAACCACCGCTGCAACCGTGGCTGGACGGCACTGCACGAGTCCGTCTCCCGCAATGACCTGGAGGTCATGGAGATCCTGGTGACGGGAGGCGCCAAAGTGGAATCCAAGAACGCCTATGGCATCACCCCTCTGTTTGTGGCTGCTCAGAGTGGCCAGCTGGAGGCCCTGAGGTTCCTGGCCAAGCACGGTGAGTGCCATGGGTCCCTGGGCCGTGGGGTCTCGGTTCAGTGGGGAATAGTGCTGAGATCCATTAGTGATGCCTGCCAGGAGAACAAGCATGGGGGTGGTGGCACGCATGCCATCTATCTGCCATCTCTAATACAGCCCAACAGCCTGTGTTTGCAAATGAGGATTCTGAGGCCTGGAGGGGGAAGTGACTTCTCTAAGGTCAAGTTGGTGGCAGGAACAGTTTGACTCTGAGTCAAAGGGTACCAACCACTTCCCTTTCTGAAAGGTTCCATTCAGAGCCAGGAAGGACCTCAGGCAGCATTCAGGTGGCCTCCTTGTTGCGTAAGCAGTGAAACCAAGGAAGGGGAAGTCATTGTCACACGGCAAGTGAGTGGCGGAGCTGGGATCTGAACCCAGGCCTCTGGACTCTAAAATACCTTTATGCGTGTGACCCTATAGGACAGAGAGGGACTGCTCCTTAGGGTTTTTGAGACTATAAATCATGGAGGGGCCAGGTAGCTTCGTCATTATCCCTGGGAGCAGCTGGTGGATTTGAACCCACTATTGGTGGCTCTCAACCCAGTGCTTGACTCACAGGGCAGACAGAATCAATGAGCTTTTCTACCCTGCTATCTGTACTCGGTGGTGTAGTGGTTACACATTGGGCTGTGGTCTGAAAGTTGGCACTTCGAAACCACCAGCCACCCTCTGGAGAAAGGCAGGACTTTTGGCTCCCCAAAGGGTTCCAGTCTTGGGAACTCGCAGGGGCCGTTTCACCCTGTCCTGTAAGGCCACTGCCATGAGCCCACATGGACTTGATAGCAATGAGCGAGTTTATCTTTGCGGGAGGGGATCGCCACATCTTTTCTCCCGCAGGGCCGAGGCAGGGCTCAAACTGCAGGCTTTGGGGGAAGGAGCTGGTGGACACTGGGTCCAGGGCAGTGACCATCCTGATCAGTGACCACTTGCTTCTCCTTCGCCAGGCTCTGACATCAACACGCAGGCCAGCGACAGCGCATCTGCCCTCTACGAAGCCTGCAAGAACGAGCATGAGGAGGTGGTCGAGTTCCTGCTGTCCCAGGGTGCAGACGCCAACAAGGTCAACAAGGACGGCTTGCTGCCGCTGCACGTGGCTGCCAAGAAAGGCAATGACAGGTTAGTCTGGCCCTGCCCGGTTCCAGGATGCCCCTGTGGAGCCACCCGTCGGCTGCCCAGAGGAAGGCCTCTCTGCAGTGAGCAGGCATGCACTGAACGCCTGCACAAACACCAAGAGTCATGAGACTCAATGTGCATTAGGCGCAGGGCTGCTAGCCTCAGGGTCAGTGGTTCAAATCCATCAGCTGCTCCGAGGGAGAAAGACGAGGCTATCTTCTCTTGTAAAGATTTAAAGCCCCGGGAACCCAGGTGAGCAGTTCTACTCTGTCCTGTGGGCTCTGTGGCAGTGGGTTAGGTTCTGGTTTTAGGATAATGAGTAGGCAGACACTTGCTAGGCTTCACGTTATAACAGGCTTTACTCCTGTGAGGCAGGTACTGGGAGTATCTCCAGCTTTTCAGATGCGGGTGCGTACACACAGAGAGGGTGAGTGGCTTGCCCAAGGTCACACAGTTCCAAAGGTCATATCGACAGGAACTGTACTTGGGGGACTCGACATGAGTCTGGATGCGCCTGTCCCCTGCCCTCCATTCCCGGGCCCATGGCCCTCCACTCCACCCACCACCCACCCACCGGCTGAGGAAGGACACCCAACAAAGGTCGCAGCCCCGTGCTCAGCAGCTTCTGCCAAGGGCCCTGCTCACAGCCTCGTTCCTTCCTGGGCGCTGGGCATGAGGAGCCCCTGCCCCTCCCAGAGGGTGCATCAGGATTTGATGTGACATTCCATGGCCCTGCTCTTCTCTCTCGGCCACCTGCCAGATACTCACCTGTCCATAATGGGGACAGCTGCACCCAGGGCCAGGCAGCTGGGGCCAGCTGGGGCCTCTCTTCCACATGCTCAATGGGAGCGGGTGCCGCCAGGCGTCACAGAGCAAGGAAGTCCCAGGGTTCCCTCCTCTTGAGGCGGTGGCTGTGTGTCGCAGCGGCGATGTGCTCGGCTGCTAACTGAAAGGGGGATGGTTCGAATCAGCAGCCCATTGGGAGAAAAGAGCCGGTGCTCGCCCCAGAAAACCTGACAGCCAGGAGACCCCAGGGGGCGGTTCCACTGCACCTCCTGTGACCTCACGTCCGTCCTAGCAAATCTCACTGTGTTGTGTTCCTTTCCAGTGGAGCAAATCGCCTTATGAAAGGGCAGGTCAGGGTGGAAATAGATTCCCAAAGCCCCTGCTTGCGTTTGGCAAGAGCAGATTGCCACAAGATTTCTCTAAAGTAGAGGTTTTAAAGCCCCTCCACCCCAAGAGCTTCTCAGCCTTGGCTGCAGGCTGGTGTGCACCCCCACCTGGGATTCTGCCTTGACTGCTTTGGGGTGCAGATGGGGCCTCGGGGGGATCCTGCTTGGCAGCCCAGGCAGACCAGCACTCCTTGACTGCTTCTTCATGGCCAGTGCAGAGCACTGTTGTTCTGAGTTCCGGGCCAAGTCCCTGGATGGCTGCAGGATCTCGCTGCAGGGGACCTCACCGCCCGGCCTGGTCTCAGAGGCAGGGCATGCTCTCACCCCCACGGGCTCAGAAAAGAGGGCCTCTTACCCCCCAGCACTCACATGCACACACTCACATGCACACACGAGGACATCTGCAAATGCACACATGAGGATGCCTGCACACACACGCATGCACATACAGAAAAGCAGGGTTAATGGACCAGAGCCACTCAGCGTGGGTGGCTAGTCCCCCCCATGCAACACTGAAGCCTGGCGTCAAATTCACAGGAAACCCTGACAGAGGTCACCCCGCCGTGACCCCAGCAGCTCAGACTTTGGTGTACCAGGGGCAGTCCCCATGGAGGTCAAACTGCAGGGGTCACCGATGATTGAGTGCCTGCTACGTCTACTCCTCCTTCGGCTTCGCATTAAGATCCCGTCTCCGCTTCCCAAGCAGCTTCAGGGACAGAGGTGGTGAGAAGGGGAATTCTTCCCACCGGGCTGGGAGGTGGAGAGGGTGACGTGAGCAGAAGCACCCGGGTCCTCGGCTCCTCTCTGGGGTGAGGCGAGCCAGGCGCTCCGGCACTTTGAGCGCGCCTGGCACGGGTGAAGCGCTCAGCAAGGATGCGTTTGGGGGTGCTGTTTAGGAAGGTAACGTGTGGACAAGAGGCCAGAGGAGTTCCACCACTGGACCTCCCGTTGGGTAGAAGGCCAGTGAAAAAGAGGACGACCCTCAGAGGGAGGGGCGGACACCGAGGCTGTAGCAGAGGCAACCAGGAGGAGGAGGGGGTGGGACCGTGTTTCCTTCCTTCTGTTGCCCCGAGGGTCGAGATGCATTTGTTGGGAATGATGCAACGGCAGCTAACGGATGCCCACATTGCTATTGTGTCCCTGGGGGGTGCTTCTGAAAATCAGCCACGAGAGCCCCCTGGAGTGGCGGCCACCGTGCGTTGGAGCTGGCCCCACCAGCACGGTTTGCAGAGGGGTGATCGGTGAAGGAGTGTTACAGGTGGCTCAGTGGTCGCGCCTTGGCCTGCGAACCGCCAAGCCGGCAGGTCTAAACCACCCGCAGCTCTGCTGGAGGGAGAGGGGCCCACTCTCTCCACCTGTAGAGAGCTCCAGTCTCGGAAACCCCCAAGGGCAGTTCTGTCCTGTCCCACAGGGTGTCTGAGTCAGCATCGACCGCAGGCCAGTGAGCTCTGTTTCGTTTTGTCTCTGGTTGTCGGGGAAGCAGGTGTGGGTCACCAAGGGGAGCAACATGCTGAAATGGGCCAGTTGCCAGTGGGCAGAACTGGCTCTCTGACCCGCTGCTGCCCCATGCTGGGCCCCTGATGCCCAGGACAGCCTTCTCTGGCTCCCAGCTCTCTGACCTCTTCCCTGCAGGGCAGCGGTTCAGACTGGGCACATCAGCTCTGGGGACAGGGGGCCCGGTGGGGTGGGGCGGGGGGAGTGGGGTCAGGACCTGGGGCAAGGGGAGTTGAGTCCAGGCCGTTCTGGCAGGTCCTAGAACAAATCAGGCATCATTATCAGGGCAGCGTCCAAGGTCAGAGGCAGTTCCTTAGGCCCTGGAGCCTGCCACACCTCTTCAGGGGGCTCAGAATGACCCTGAGCTTGGTGGGCCCTGGTCTTAGGGGCTGGTGGATAGGGCTGAGCTGTCAGAGGCACCCCTGCACAAGAGTGGGGAGCTGACCAGGATTCAGGTCTCCGAGACCTCTCCATCGGCCATCTTTGTTCCTATCCAGAAAGGACAGTGCTCTGTGGCCCCAGGACTTCCGTTTGGGGAGCGAGGAGACACCTGCCTTGGCAGATCACTCCCTTTGGTCAGGAGGGGGAGTGGTGAGGACCTGATTCTGGGAGCCTAGAGACCCACATTCCACCCTGCCTTTGCTGTCCCGCCTCAGTGTCTCCCTCTGTCAGGTGGGAGGGCTGCCCACCATGACCTCCAGCTCTGTGCAGCATCACAATGTCCCCCCAAGGCTTTCCTAGCCCTTTCTGGCATGGTCCCCAGAACCAGGGGACAATACGGTGGTGGCACGCGCTAAAAGAAGGTGGCTCGGGGGCCCCAGGCAGTGGCCAGTGGGTTCCTACATGGCTGCCACTTCCCCTGCCACAGGGAACTGCTCTGAGACCCACTGGGACCTGCTGGGGTACCAGCCCCATCTGCCAGTGGCCCCAAGTGGCTGGGCCAGAGTTCTCTGTTGTGTTTGGGCACACCAAGGGTGTGATGGACCATTTGTTGGTGGTGGCCATGGTCCAGAGCCGGGCCAGGCCCCTTGGGGTGAGCAGCGGTTCTGCAGAGGGAGGTCAGGCCTCCTGCGCCCACACAAATAGAACTTAGGAGGCAATTAGCCCCCCGGGTGTGTGAATTTCCTTTTGAGGCTTTAGAGGCAGATTTTAGCCAAAGGCGGCGTCACCAACAATAATAATTCTTTCCGCTGAGAACCTAGCATGAGGCTGCTGGCACGGGGCTTCAAGGAAGCTGGCTGGCTGGGAAGCGTGGGAACTGGCCTGATGGCACCTGCTTCTCTCGCCAAGACCTCATCCTCAGAGTACCAAGCAGGGCTGTGAGGTCACCTGCCAACCAGGATTAGACAGATTAGGGTGGCAGGGTTGTGTCCTGGTGGGAGGCGGGGCACCTGGGGGGGGGAGAGAGCAAAGACAAGGGGTGGGGCCAGGGGCTGTGCTGGTCTCTGGTTCATCATCACTCCGGGTCTCCAAGTCACACGTGTTAAAGTGAAGGCCACACACTTGCTCTGGCTCCTCAGGGGGCCGGAGTGACAGTGACGTGACAGGCACATCACCAGGCTGTGATGACCACAAATCCCCTCATCTCTCGACAGCCACTTCAACTCAGACTAGACAGCTGTGCATCCGTCTCTTGGCAAGTCACTACCCTCTCTGGGATTCTTTCTGCTCATGGGTAAAATGAGAATAGCACCCTCGCCCACGGGTTTAATAAACTGAGCTATGTAAAAGGTTAGGAGTGATGTCAGAGGCAGTGGGAGAGCCCAGTCAGGGTTTGCAGGGCAGAGAGGGTGGGAGGCAAGAATAAGCATAGACTCAGGAGAGGGGGGGCCTGGTGGCTTAGTGGTTATGTGTTGGGCTGGCTTCTAACTGCAAGGTCATCAGTTTGAAACCACCAGCTGCTCCCCTGGAGCAAGACGAGGCTCTCTACCACCAAGAGTTAATCTTAGAAACTCACAGCTTCAGTTCTGCCGGGTCCTACAGGGCCGCTACTCAAGGCAGTGAGTTTATTTAAGGAGAGAGGAGCAGGCAGGGCATTTTCACCAAGGGCTGCCTGGGGCCCAAGGGAGGAACAACTGGCACCAGACACATTTGTCTCATCCTGTTATCCACAACTTGGAAGTTCCCAAAGTGAGGGCCGCTCAGCTGGGGGTCTGAGGAGGGCCCAGTTCTCCACTGATCTCCTGATTCAAGGCAGTCCCTGGAGCTCTCTGAGCCTTGATGTTTCTCATCTGTAAAATGGGAAACTGGGAATGATGAGGCATGCTGGGGTCGGGGGTTGGGGTTGCTTCAGTGGTTGAACTAGATCTCGTCTGTGATATGAGGAGGCTCCTGGCAGGCAGTGAGCTCTTGGATGGGACTGTCCCTTCTTGTGCCCGCCTGCCCCACCCGGTTTCCTGGCTGGCCGCAGGGAGCAACTGGAATGCTCATTGGGCTCAGGGACCCTCCAGCCCACTCTCCAGATAACTGAGCTGAGAATGGACACCCCTCTCCACGTGGCTGGGGAGTCTGTGCGGCACAGTTCCTGGGCTCTGATGGTAATTGGTCTGAGTTGTAAGCCTACATCCCCACTGAGCCTCAGTTTCCCATAAGGTGGAGGCAGCCGCATATCCCTGCCCCAGTATGGTCACTGTGGTGATGGCTGGATTCCCCCGCATACTTCCTGCTGGGGACAGTCCCCATGCACAGCTATGTACCCCATGCACAGCCACCCTCCCCACACACAGGACTGGAAAGCAGCTAGGCTGGGCCTCTCTGCGCCCCCTGCTGGCGGGGCAGGCTCACTTCCCTCTGCACACACTGGGCCTGGGACAGCAGCTGGGCTGGGCCGGGCCTCTCAGCGCCCCCTGCTGGCGTGGCGGTCCCACTTCCCTCTGCATACACTGGGCCTGGGACAGCAGCAGGGCTAAGCTCCTCAGCGCCCCCTGCTGGCGGGCCTGCCCGCCGCACCTCGGTGACCACGTGCCCGCCATCCTCCCGCAGGATCGTGCAGATGCTGCTGCCCGTGACCAGCCGCACGCGCGTGCGCCGGAGCGGCATCAGCCCGTTGCACCTGGCGGCCGAGCGCAATAACGACACGGTGCTCGAGACGCTGCTGAGCGCGGGCTTTGACGTGAACGCACAGCTGGCGCCTGAGCGCTCGCGCCTCTACGAGGACCGGCGCAGCTCCGCGCTCTACTTCACCGTGGTCAACAACAACGTGTATGCCACCGAGCTGCTGCTGCTGGCCGGCGCCGACCCCAACCGCGACGTGCTCAGCCCGCTGCTCGTGGCCATCCGCCACGGCTGCTTGCGCACCATGCAGCTGCTGCTGGACCACGGTGCCAACATCGACGCCTACATCGCCACGCACCCCACTGCCTTCCCCGCCACCATCATGTTCGCCATGAAGTGCCTGTCCTTGCTCAAGTTCCTCATGGACCTCGGTTGCGACGGCGAGCCCTGCTTCTCGTGCCTCTACGGCAATGGCCCGCACCCGCCGGCTCCCACGCGCACCAACCGCTTCAATGATGAGCCCGCCTCAGACAAGGCACCCAGTGTGGTGCAGGTGGGCAGGGCAGGGTTGCTGTGGGTGGGTGTAAGTGGGGGTGGTGCTGGTGGGCGTGGCCGTGGTGAGTGGGCGTGAGTGGGTGGGGCTGGTGGGTGTGGTGCTGGTGAGTGGGGCGTGGTAGTGGTGGGAGATTGAGTGGGCGGGCCGTGAATGGGGGAAGAGGTGACTAGTGAGCAGGTGGGCGGAGCACAGGTGGGAGTGGAGCAGGTGGATGGGACCTGGCAGCGGTGGGGGAGTGAATGGGCAGGACAGGGGTGGGCCTGGTGCAGGTGGATGGAGCACAGCCACGGTGGGTGGACCACAAGTGGACAAGCACCCGTGATGCTGTGGGCAGTGAATGGGTAGGACGCGGAGTGTTGTGGAGCAGGTGGGTGGGGTGTGGCTGCAGTGGTCGTGGTGCGAGTGGACAGGCACCCGTGGTGCTGTGGGCAGTGAGTGGGTAGAATGCAGGGTGGTGGGGTGCAGGTGCGTGGGGTGCAGCTGCAGTGGGAGTGGTGTAAACAGGCAGGTGCTGGGGCTACAGGTGGGCGTGGTGCCTTTGGAGAGTCTCAGGGCTGTGGGGCAAATGAGGCATTTGGAGCAGGAAGGGCAGGTGAGTAAGGAGTCCAGGAGACTGTGTGGACTAGTGGTGAACATGTTTAGAGACGGCGGAGGTAGCCGGAGTCTGGTCCTTAACGAGGCAGTGTAGAATGGTAATTGGCGTGCCCTGGAAAGAGAGCAGGCGGACTGGGAGCCAAAGTACTGCGCCTTGGTGGGTGTCCACCAGTGGTTAGCGTGCGTTGGAGTCGATGTAGACTCGAGGTTGCTTCTCTGAGGATCCTCGCTTGGGGTGGACACACCTTGAAGGTCTTGTTGCCTATCAGTTAAAAGCACGGAGGAGTCACGTGCTCAATAAAATCTCCTTGGTCAGTGGCCTTGGATAATTTAAGACACCCAGTGCAGCAAGGGATTGGCAGGGAACTGTGTAGTTGAAGGGCTTGTCACTCCCAGCACCCTACAGCCCAACTATGATGTTAAGGTGACCGGGACCTGGAAGGGGCTCAGAAGCAGGCTGGGGTAAGGTCAGAAGAGGGGCCGGCAGAGGCAATGATTTTGAGGCGGGATCTGTCCGTGGTGCTGACGTTAAAGTCAGCCCTGCGGACCCAAGGGAAGAGAACTTTTTCTCAACAGGGTTTATGGGTGCCTGCCTAAGCACTGGATGGCTAATTGCAAGATTGGGAGTTCACACCCACCAGCCTCTCCGAGGCTGTCCACACCCATAAAGATTCCAAAGTCTTGGAAACGTTGCACAGGGCTGCTCTGAGCCCCTGAGGTGGTGCAAACGGTTGCTGTGCTCAGGTGCTAACTGCAAGGCTGGAAGTTCGAGTCCTCTCAGAGGGACCTTGGAAGATAGGCTTGTGGTCTGATCTCAAAAGCACACAGGTTGATGCTGACACCCTTGGGGTCACCCTGAGTCAGAGCTGGCTGCCTCCGTAACAGCTGGTACTGGTGTACCCATTTTATAGACCAAGAAGTTGAGGCTCAGAGCAGTCAGCAATAAGCCTGGCCCGAGTTGCCCATTGCCCCCTCCACAGCCTATATTGATTAGTGTGGAGGCTCTCTAGAGAGGGGTACCCTGAGACCTGCCCTCCCTGTGGGGTAAGCTTCCTAAAGTTGGGGTGTGCCCTCTCTTCCAGTTCTGTGAGATCCTCTCGGCCCCGGAGGTGAGCCGCTGGGCGGGGCCCATCATCGACGTGCTGCTGGACTACGTGGGCAACGTGCAGCTCTGTGCCCGCCTGAAGGAGCACATCGAGAGCTTCGAGGACTGGGCAGTCATCAAGGAGAAGGCAGGTAGGGCTGCTGCCCCCACCACTGCGGGCGGGTCACCCTGTCCAACAGAGCAAGGCCCTGCTGGCGCTAATGCTAGATGAACCCCCGGTGCACGCCCCATCGGACTGTGTGCCTACCCCTTTCTTGAAGTATA